CCATCCCCAGACGAGGAGGGGAGCGACCGAGTGGCTTTGGTGGGTCAGGGCCAACCCACCGCGAGCACGAAGCCCGAAAAGGATCCCTCCAGCCAGCACCAAAAATAGGTCCAGAGCTGGCCAAGGCCCAGAGCCCTTCCCAGTGACTGGCAGGGCCCCCCCCCCCCCCCCCCCCCCGAAAGGGTTAACGCAGCGTTAGAATCTTCCACTTTAATCACGATTGTCCCATTTGCAGAGCACCAGAGCTCTCCACCCCGGGCGCGGGCTGGGGATGAGACAGAACAGGCTTTAAAAATGTTACTCAGCATTTGGCCGCCAAAGCTTTGAGGATTTTCGAGTTGCTCCCAGCCATGCTGGGCCGGACCTGCTGTGCTGAACTGGGTTGATCTCAGCCGCTGAAAATGAGCTGGGCTGAAGCCTTGCAGAGCTCTAACTGTCTCCAAGGGCTGACTGGAACTGTCTGTCCCCCTCCCCATGGGAACGGGACTGTGTTTGATTTTATGTGCGCAACCATCTGCTGCCACAAGCAAAGATGAATCATAGCAAACGCTGTAAAGGGAGCCCGGCAGCAGCCGGAGAGGGAAAGGAGGAAGGACGGCATGTCACAGCGAGAGTTAACGGGTGACGGCAGCTCTGGGAAGGTGCCTGGTGTCCCTGCTGCGATAGATGGTGACATTAGAGGTGGCAGGGCTCTGGAGAGGTGCTGGAGCCTCAGCCGGGCCGCGGCAGCTCCATCCTGCTCGTGGCATCTTCCTCCTCCCGCCTGCCGGCACACACCCCTCAGCCCGTGACTCAGCCTTCGCCCACGGGATGAGAATCTCTGCAAACCTCCCTCCCGCGGCAGCTGCACGAGATGTCCACAACCGGCTCCACGTGGGGTGGGAAGCCGCTCTTCTGTCCTCCTTGGGACCCCAGCGCTGGGAGAAGGTCTCTGCTCTCTGCAGGTGCAGGGCCCATGGGACCACTGCCAAGGGCTTTCCATTCAAGAATGTTCTTTTGTGCCCAAACCCAACTAAAACCCAGGCCAGGCTTGGTGTAGGAAAGATCTCCAACTCTTCAGCCCCACCTAGAGTCTGGCCAGCCTTAAGCTGGTCCCAACAGGACCTGACACCCTGCCCAGCTCCGAAGGGGCTTCTCCTCCGCTGATCTGCTGCCGGGACCTGGCGGCTGCTCCCCACTGACCCCAGAGCCACACGAGGTCCCTGGAAAGCTGGAGAGCGGGGCATGCAACAGGTAGAAAGGCGAGTCAGCAGCTCTACCCTGACAAGATATGGGGACAAGACCGGGCAACGCGGAGCCTTGCACAAGCGCACGCTCCCGGCTTGAGGAGCGTTGCGTAGGTATGAGGAGCAAGGTGCTGATCGGGGGCCACGCCACAGCGGAACCAGAGCCCTGAGGTGCTCTTTGCCCACGTGCCGTAACTCTCCTGGATGTCTCCATGAAAATCAAATGGCTTCTAGATGTTTGCCCCTCACCGGGGCAGGACCCACACCTCTGGGGAGCGCTGGACTGCAAGGATCACTGCACAAAAAGCATTTCTGCTTCCTAGGGCTCTCTCACGTCACCTCGTGCAGAAGAGTCCGGGGTCTTCCTTGCCTTGCCTTTGCCCACTAAACCCCTCTATTTTCCTCTCTTCCTGCTCCCTGCCTAAGATGATGACACAATATACATGTCATGGCCCTGCCACGCAGTCTGAACATCCTTCTTTCACCCTTTTTCTTGTCTCACAGTGCAGCACCCCGGTGCCAGCGCTCAGCACCCCGCCAGGAAACTGCAGATAAACTGGCAGCTCTGGGGAAAGCAGAAGGGAGGGCTCTTCTCTCCGCCTGGCTTCCCTCCTCTGCACTGCCTTGTTACCATGACAAAACCTGCATTTTTTCAACACCACACAGACACAGCTGATCTCAGCGAGAAGCAACAGGAAGGGAGCAGTCACAGGGACCTTCGGATGATGGCACGTTTTCAGCAGCCTGTTGCTAGCTGACATCAGGAAGGTCCAAACGCTGCCGTTGGGGACAGCGGGACAGAGCAGGACCCAGCGGGACCCAAAGGAAGCGATTTTGGCTGCAGAGCAGAACTTCTCCGCAGCCCACAGCCTTTGCTCCCTGAAAACACTCCTCGGTCACACGCCCGTGTCCCTCTCACTAAGCAGAGAAGGAATCCATCTATGGACAGAGACAATAAAATCCCACCCCACAAGTCCTGGCGCGGCTCTCTGCTCCCCAAGGAGCCCAGTTCAGCTCTCCCCGTGCGGCAGGCGAGGGCCAGAACCCATCAGCTCCAGGCTACAGGAGCGCAGGGCACTGGTGAGGCCGAGCAGCTCGTGCAGTTCCTCCGGCCCCTGGCCCAGCGCCCTGACTCCGAGGGCTTCCAGCACTCACAATCCCAGCAGCACCATCCAAACACGCTCGCTGTGGCCTCCCTGCAGACATTCACTGCGGGGTAACGGAGAATAAAACTCATCCCATAACCTTACAGCTAACGTGGCCACCACCCAAATGCTGCAGCGACCAAGTGCTCAGGACCTTCTGCGCTGGAGCTGAGGGCAAGGGCTTCTCCCATGTCCTTGGCTGTGATGGGGACGCTGAGCACAGGTGCAGCTGCAAATGGGCCATCCTTAGGCACAGCACGGAAGAGCCTCTGCCAAAAAGCAGAAACTCCAGAGTAATACAGGTGTTTGGAGCAGACGGCAAGGTACGGTCATCCAGGGATGGAGAACATGGCCCCCCCGGTGCAGTCCAGAGACAAGAACACCTCCGGGAAGGCAGCTCACGTCCTCGTTCCATCACTCCAGTTTCCTCCTGCAACCTCTACATTTGCCAGCTAGGGCTGGCATGACTTTCTGGGTTGCACTTGGCCACCGGAACAATTTCATGCTCTCAGCGTGAGCGAAGCCCCCCGGCCATCTGCAGGGCTGGGCGGCACATAGCACTGCGACACAGGCAACGACAAGGCCGTCAGAAGCAGGGGAAGGGGGAGAAAACACCACAGAGCCAGGGCTGTGACGCTGTCACTGGAGGGGAGGATAAAAGACAGAATCACAGAATCACAGAATCACAGAATGGTGGGGGTTGGAAGAGCCCTCTGTGGGTCACCCAGCCCAACCCCCTGCCCAAGCAGGGTCACCCAGAGCAGGCTGCACAGCACCGCGTCCAGGTGGGTCTTGAACATCTCCATAGGGCACCACTGGAAAGAGCTTGGCCCCGTCCTCCTGGCACCCACCCTGCAGATATTTAGAGGCATTTCTAAGGTCCCCTCTCAGCCTTCTCTTCTCCAAGCTGAACAAGCCCAGCTCCCTCAGCCTCTCCTCGTAGGAGAGATGCTCCAGTCCCCTCACCATCCTCGCAGCCCTGCGCTGGGCTCTCTCCAGTAGCTCCTCACCTTTCTTGAACTGGGGAGCCCAGCACTGGACACAGCACCGCAGATGGGGCCTCCCCAGGGCAGTGTAGAGGGGAAGGAGAACCTCCCTCAACCTGCTGCCCACACTCATCCTAATGCATCCCGGACACGCGCTTTCACCAGAAAAGGCAGAGTTACTGAGCGGATGGACAGCTGAGATGTCGCTTATCCCTTGGCTCTGGATCACATCGTCCCAACCACACACAGGATTCGAGCGGCTTGTCCTCTCGCAGTAGCTCTAAGCAACGCGCCAGCTGGACGTGCAGTCCCAGCATCAGGAAACTAAACCCAAATATTGACTGAACTACCAAGTGCTCTTTCCACGCTTGCAAACGGACACTTCTATTTGCACTTCCCTGTGCAAACAGAACAAAAGCCACAACCCTTTCGTGCTCACCAGCCCCGGGTTTGCGTGCAGGCAACCTCCTGGAAACCACCAACAGAGAAACCCTCGGCGAAGGTGAGAAGAGGGTGTCCGAGAGGGACAGCCCTGCCCATGAGGGCAGAGTTTCGCCTGGAGGAGATACCTGCAGCCCCCCAAGGCGGTCCCAGCCCCCCGCCCTGGAGCAGAGAGCCACCCCGACGCCGCAGCCTTACCGGCGATGAGCTGGCAGCGGCGGTACAGGAAGGTCTGGTAGGCTGTGTAGTCCCGGTAGACGGCGTTGAGCCCCACGCTGCGACTCTCCAGCCAGTGCACGACGGCGCGCCCGCGAGCGCACACCTCCCGTAGGCACCCCACGCTCGCCCGGCCTCCAGCTCCACCGCCAAGCTCCGCACGCGGCCCGGGACCTGCATTGCCACGTCCAGGTCCAGGTCCGTGCAGCCCTCCGGGGCAGGGAGGAAACAGCAAGGGCTACACCGAGACCCCTTAATTTACCCCTGCTGCGAGACCCTGTTTCGCGGTGATGCTTTAGCGTTGACCTCGTGTGTGAGGCCGATGCTGTGCCGAGGATGGGGCCGCGGAGATGAGTGACGTGTTTTTAAACCGATGGAGAAATAACGTGACTTTGTCTTATCTCTGAGTCACAGGCAGTGTCGACGTGCAGCTGGTCCGGGCGGGTGGCTCTGTCGGCAGGGAGGGGTGTCGCGCACCACCAGCCGTGCTGGCAGAAGGGCTGGGGAAGGAGTTTAGAAAGCAAAGACTCCAAAAGCCACTTTGACTTTCTGTGTCTGAATCTGCATCAAAACCCACGTGAAAAAGAAAGTGAATAACCACAAGGTTCTCCCAGCAGCAGCTCCCCAGCCAGCTGTTGCCACCCAAAGCGTGATGTTCACCATCGATCCCCAGCGAACCGTGGCTGTTCCTGCGCTTGCACAGGTGGCAGCGTCACCTCCAGCTGGCAGGAGAGTGATGGGGCAGACTGGTAGCAGATGCAAGTCCCTGTTGCTACATCCAACGATGCAGTCTCAGTGTTTGAATCGAGGCGTTTGCGATGTGCCGGTGTACGGTCCTGATGTGAGGTGCCTGTGTGCATTTGCAGGACTGGAGTACGCAGCTTCTCCGAAGTACACGTGGAGCAAAGACCATCCCTTTCCCAAGAGATGCAGAGTCAGATCCCAAGAGGAAGCACGGCGCTCCGTGGGCCCAGCTACTGCCAGTTTCTGCTATCTGCGTGGGACTGCCATGGCGTGCGTGGTTGTGACAAAACTTTGATCTGATGACAGATGGAATTGACATAAAAATTAAACTCAAGCCAGTAAATTATGAAGCAATATCAGAAAAGCTTTGCAGTTTGACTTGCAGTCACAGATCTGTATGCGTTCCCACTAACGAGAGGAAAAGACAGACTTTGCCACCAATATGTTGCTGAAAACCTTTGCCCAGACAGAAAACAGTTCTCAGGGTGAGGAGGCAAATGGAGAAATTCACATGGCAATGACAGAAGTATCACTCCATATGCTCGTTATGGAGCTGCTCCAGAAGTTTGGGGCCAAGGAAAAGATCGATTCAGCTGTGATCTGTTCCACATTTAGTAAAACAAATGGCTTAAAACCAGACAGGCGGCAGGAAGGGACCTCTCTCTTAGCTGCAGAGTACTGGCGAGCAGAAACAGGGGGCAACGTCAGGGGAGGATTCTGTTGATGCCTTCCATGACCGGCTCTAACCGCACCCTTTCCTGAGGCTGCGTAAGCACGGCTTGTGATCGAAATCCTCTCCTTCCTCCCAAAGACAAATGCAAAACAACTTCTGAAAACAAATGTAGCAAGTGAGAAAGATCCAGGCAGTGGTTCATGTCCCAGAAATCACTTGTGTCACTTGAATCTGCTCAATATTGCTGTACGATGGCAGTGAATGCCACCAGATAGATTCTAAGGGAGATGTCACCTGGGGAGGTGGAAGTGCCCGAGATTAGCAGGCGCTGTGAGAACCAGCAGCAGCAGGCGTGGGGCTGAGCACTGCTGTCCTCCCTGGTTTTGGGTGAACAGCCTCATTTTACTAAAGACACTGACGCTGCGCCAGTGCCTTCCGGCCATCTCCAGCCCCAGATGTCTGCGCTGCCTCCTTGCCCGGAGCACCAGGCATGGCTGCCCCTTGCACAGAGCTGGCAGAACCTCAGCAGGTGTCCTCAGGCACCAAGAAAGTCTGAGCAACGTGCCCTTACTGGGGTAGTTAGAGGGGATGTGGCTTTCGCGGTGGCGCTTGCTGTCTGCTGTCACCCTCTTGGCAGTGTGGCTGGTAGCGTGACCTCTGCGTTGTGCTGAAGAAATGGGAGCCTGAACGCTTGTGTCCCAAGGAGATGTTGCTTCGATTCTGCTGAAGGAGCGAGTCAGGCTTCGGCGCGAGGTTCCACCTGCCAGGCTGGAGAACACCAAAGCTGCTTTAGCAGCAGCAGGCTGCAGCTGGGAAAGGGGCCCTGTTGCACATGACACGCTGCAGAGCCCAGAGAGCGGAGGGGACAAGGGACAGCAACATCGGCTTTAGGAGCTAGAGCAGTGCGCAGGAAAGAAGAGCAGGTCTCCACCAGCAAAACACCCGCGCAACAAAGCTGGGCACAGACCTCCGGGTACGAGAGCTGTGTAGTAGTTCTCGCCAACGCTTGATTTCTCTCAGGGTCTTCGTCGCCTCTGGGGATGGACGAGGTGTTTTTGTTCAGCCGGACAATCGTTACAGGCTCTGGCAAACACGAGAGTGAAGGATGTCAGAGCATGCCAGTCTTTGGACAGTTTGTAGCCACAGCAGCTTCTCCTCGTGCAATAAAGCACAGGAGGGGATACAGCTCGTTAACCTGCCACGGAAGCGGAGTGAGGACGAAACAGCCTCACAGTGACAACACGGACGCTGAGTACCTCCAAACTAGAGAACACTCAAAATATGAAATTGTATACATATTCTATGAATGCATTCTATCTTTATCTGTAATGATATCACTAAAACCAAGTGGTGAAACCTACTGTTCTGCCAGTTCTAAACCTCAGAAGCGGTCTGTACGCGCTGCCTCTGTCTCACAGGCCTCCCCTACCTGTGTTGTGCGCTGCGAAGTGCTCCGACGTCGAGGGGGAGAATCTGGTGCGCCCATCCTCCAGCTGCAGGTTCGTGCGGTGGATCTGGGAGGTGGCACGTTGCTTGTCGTGGACTCTGCAAGACACCAGATACGAGCTGCTTCCCGGGCAACCTTCACCGGAAAGAGCAGCTCCTGGGGACGCCCGTCGGGTTCTCCTGCTCGTACCTGGGTGTCCTCTCCTCTGGGGCACTGTAGGCGTGTTTCTGCTCGCTCACAGATCCACAGATCCACAGATCCTGGGATCCCCAAGTTTTATAGAAGACACGTGCTGAAGGGAAGCCAGGAGAGTGAGAGAACAGCTACTCAGAGCACAACCCCTTCATTTCCCCTCTCTGTCTTTCCGTCCATCTGGTTTTCACGTGCACAGCTCCCACCCCTTTCAGGCCGGAATTCAGCACGGGAACGTGCTGCCCTTGGGCTGCTCCCCAGAATCGTGCTGTTACCTTTGCACTCGGCTTTGCAGGCGGAGTCCATTCACCCGTAAAATGGGCTTGGTAAGAGGTGCTGTAATAGGACTTTCCATCCCCTTGAATAGTGGGAAAGCACCCTGCCAAACAGCCAGAGGGGAAAAAGAACGGCGTTATTCCTAAAAATGCTCCATGTACCCTTGTAAGGAAGTCAGAATGGTACCGAAGCTGCAATCCCGAGGCAGCTGCTCTCTTCGCATTTTAGCACTCCCGAATCTCCTTCGTAGAAGGAAACGGCGAAGGGATTCACAGCAGGTTGCAGCAAGGTGAGCTGCAGCGCTGCAGAAGCGGGATGCGGCGCATCAGAAGGCGCCGCGGCTCTGGCGCGGAAATGGCAGCGCCTG